AAAGTGGACACGGGTGACGCGTGTGAGAACCAGCGCGCTGCAATCAACGAGCAAGATCAAGACCTCCACCCTCCTTTGGACAACCAGCCATTGACGCCCTGAAACACAGTGAGAGAGAGAGAGACAGAGGGGCAGGGAGAGAGGGACAGAGAGAGACAGACAGATAGACAGACACACAGACAGACACACACACAGACAGGCACACACACAGACACAGACAGACACACACAGACGCCCACACACACACAAACAAACACACACACACACAGACAGACACACACTGAACAGTTCAGCTTACCGAGGGGTCGAGTTCAATGGCTGCCGTGTAGTGCTCAATCGCTTCATGGAACTGCTTCTTCTTGAAGCACTCATTGCCCCTGCCAATTCACCGTGGTTGATGATCAGCGCCACAAACACAGTCTGATCTGAGCGAAGAGTGTCAACAGCGCGCAAGCCCAAACCAACAAACAAAAGACAACCCACATGTACACCCACACACAGAGGGAGAAGTGGTGCTCACTTGGCCTTGGCTTCCTCAGCTGGCGTAGCCATCTTGTGTGACGAGAGGTGGGGGTAGGTGTGTGATGATGAAGGGGGTTGAGAAGTGGCTGGTTGGGTGCGTCGGCGGCAGTTGATGTGATGTGCATTTAATGCTGTCGCAAGCCGTTTTGTAACGAACGCGATTTGCAAAAGCAACGACAGCAGCGCCGCCATTCACACGTCAACTGCACATCACAACCACCCACGATGGATGCCAAGGTGTCTCAGCTGATGGACGTCACGGGCATCGACCCTGACCGCGCAAAGAACCTCTTACAGGTATACACATGTATGCGATGAACGAGCTTTTGTGTGTGTGTGTGTGTGTGTTCTGGCGTTGTGTACGTGCACACGCTTCGTGTGTGCATGCGGAGATCGATCATGCCAAACACACACACACACACACACACACACACACACACACACACACACACACACACACACACACGCTGATGCAACCCACACCATCACCCTCGTCGCCACGCATCTCTCCCAAACTCTCCCAAACCCTCATCACGCACACGCGCACCTTGTTGACACTGTGTCACCTCATGCGACCCCACAAGGCATGTGACAACAATGTTGAGGCTGCCATCCTGTTGCACTTCTCCTCCGGTCCAGAGCCTGGGATGACATCGTCCTCATCCTCGGCACAAGCGCCATCAGCGCCCATGCCGCCGCCAGAACCCGAGGTTCGCGCGCCAATCAAGCCAAAGCAAGACACCCTCATCGACAGCCCCGGCAGTGAGTGTGACCTCTGCGCATTGTGCGTGCGTGTGTGTGTGTGTGTGTGTGTGTGTGTGTGTGTGTGTGTGTGTGCGCGCGCGTGTGTGTGCTGTGCCTGTGCACACATCTTTGTTGCACGTTCGTATGCACTGTCCTTTGTTGGCGCTTACGAACATGCGCACCTCCATCTCACTCTGCCCCTTTCTTTCGTGTACATGGCGTTGTCTCAGTGCCTATGCTGCGCAGCATGCGGCGGCAACAAGGGGCTGCACCGACGATTCGCCATCCTTTTGCACAATTCAGTGGTGAGCCGACCTCACGCGAGTTGAAGCCCGAGCGACACACACATACACACACGCGCGTTAACCTCCTCTATCTCGCTTCCGCTCTGCTTTCTCACTACACACGCTCCCTGTCATCCTCCCCTCTCTCTAACGCCCTCGCACACATGCCCTTGTGGCCATGTTCCTTTCCATTACAGATGACATCAGCGAGACCCACCGCCAGCGTAAGATCATCTTCACAGCCGAGTTTGCAGCGTGCTCTGTCCATTAATTTTCGCGTCTCACTGCCGTGTCGTCATTTCCTCGACCACTATTTGCCATTCACCCTGCGTGCTCGATTGCTTGCGTGCTTGCTTGCATGCTTGCGTGGTTGTATGATGTTGTGATTGCGTGATGGTATGTGCAGACTTGCAGGATTTGTTTGCTCCCCCACGCGACCTCATGTCGGAGCTGCCTTGGGAGGAGGTGCGATGGCAGTTGGGTGTGAACATGTGTGTGTGTGTGTGTGTGTGTGTCTGTGCGTCTGAATGTGTGCATGTGTGAACGTGAGTGCACTCGTTGCTCATGCCCTTGTGGAGAAGAGAGTTGTCTCCTTCAAGCAACCGCATTCACACACGCTCCCATCACCCCATCATCCCCCGTTTCGCGCGCGCGCGCGTGTCAGCTGCTTGCAACTGCTGCGCGGGAGGACAAGTGGGTGCTGGTGAACATCCAGAAGACGACGGAGTTTGAGTCGCACCGCCTCAACCGCGACGTGTGGAGCAACACAACCGTACGTCACACGCATGCACAAACATGCGCACACACGTGTATGCATTCACGCACACACTTGCGCAATACACGCACGCACACACGCACAATACACGTGCACACGCACACGCACACACACTACCCCCCCCTCTCTCACACACAGCCTCACCGCTTGCTGTTGTTCCGTGTGCTCCGCAGGTCCAGAGCGTGGTGCGGGCGAGTTTCCTGTTCTGGCAAGTGGATGCGGAGGTTCGCGATGGTTCCGAGTTTGTGCGCCGGTATCCAACGACGTCCCCCCCACACGTGTGTGTGATCGACCCAACAACACGCGAGCGCATGAAGGAGATTCGCATCACGTGCGACGCACACGACATGGTGGAGCGATGTACGTTGCACTTGCCCAGACACCTGGGCTGATGTTGTGCGCTTGTACCATCTCTGATTCTGCGTGCCTACTTTGGTCGTGTTGAACACACACACACACACCTTTTGTTGAGTTAAACATGATCTTATCACTCACACACACACACACACACACACACACACACACACACACACAAATGCACACACACGCGCGCACACACACACACACACACAGTGTTGGCATTTGTTGAGCGGCACGGAAAGCCGTCGTCTCATGGTGTCGGGGGCGGCACATCATCACAGCCAGCAGCACCCCAGCAGCAGCCGTCAACAAGCACGGTAGTGGTTGAGATGCCCTTGTCTTGCATTGTTGTACGTGCGTGCGTGCTGTCGCTGTGCCATTGGCACTCACAAATGCACAACACGCATGCATGCACACTCACTCTGTCCTTCCGTACATATGTGCCTGTCTGCAGGGAGGCGGCGTGGACCTGAACGCGGCGGAGGACGAAATGGTATGACTCAAAACCGACCGCCCATGTTCCTGTCACGCACAGGCGTACACACATCTATGCTGGCCATCTATTCTCAATCCCCCTCTGCTCACACACACACACACACACACACACACACACACACACACACACACACACACACACACACACACACAGATGCGAGCTGCGATTGCCGCGTCGCTGGCGGATTCAAAGCCGCAGACGTCGAAGCGGGCAAAGCAGACAATGGCGAGCAGCCGCGCCGCCACCACCACCACCACCACCACTGTTGAAGATGAAGACGAAGACGAAGAGGAAGAGGACACACAGATGATGGAGGATGAGGATGAAGTGGTGGCGTTGGATGACACAATCGACGACGAAGAAGAGGAGGAAGAAGAAGAGGAAGAGGAGGAACAGCCAACAGGTGTGTGTACGTGAATGTGTGTTTGTTGTGTGCGTGTTTGCACATGGCGATTTCGCTTCGTCTTGCTCACTGTAGCTCCACCACCACAACAACCACCACCACCATCATCATTATCAGTGCGTGCGCGCCCGGAGCCGCCTGCGGATGCGAGCGAACCGCTGAGCACCGTCTGTCTCGTTTTCCCAGACGGAAGCAGGTGCCAAATGGACAATCAGATGATGGCTTGCTTGTTGGCCTGTCGTTTGCTGCACCGCTTCGAAGTTTGTTCGTTTGTTCGGAGTGCTGCTGCTCGCCTGCTTGTTGCACGTCCTCACCACCCGTCATCCCCCTCCTCTTCCCACCTCAGGCTGCAGCGTCGCTTCTATGCCGACGAGCCCGTTGCGGTGCTGGCAGACGTGATCAAGACGGCTGCCCATATCGACGGGCCCGTGCACGCCATGCGAACACATCCGCGCGTGGACCTGCTGGCTGCGCCGCCCACAGACACATTCGCAGACCTCAACATCCGCCGTGAGCTCGTGCGCGTCGAGAAGAAGGACTGAGCAGCAGCAGCAGCAGCAGCAGCTTGGGGGGGAGGGGGTGGCATGTGTGGCGTACACGCGAATCTGTATGTGCGTGTGTGTTGTAGAGGTGTGTGCACGTGTGCTCCATGTGCATGCACATGTGTGTGTGTGCTTCATGTGTGGCCCTTGTTGCAGTGGCGAACTGTGGTAGCGTTGTATCTAATGTGCAGCAGCAACGACAACAACAATAGCGACAGTAGCAGTTGTGCTTGTCAACTTCACGCGCGTGTGAGCTGTTTTGTCATGCGCATGTGTGTGCGTGTGTGTGTTGGGTTCAGGCAAGCAAGGTAAATGAATACACAACCCAGCCAGCCGTGTGCAATAGAAACCCCCAAAATGATTGTGTTCATCCGTGCGCGCAGGTTCGTGTGTGTGTCGACGATGGTGGGGTGGAAGCGCGAACCAAAGGGAACGCAAGTGCAAGCGGGGAGAAGAAAACAAGGGTACAGGGCAGGCACCGCGCACGCGTGTGGAAGTAACATAACAGCAGAGCAAAGCGGCGTGTGGTGCGGTGTGTTCCTGCGCAACATGGCAATGTCGATTGCGAATGCAGCGCTCACGACGTCATCATCTTCACAAACTCGTCATAGTCAATCTGGAGACGAAGATGGTCGAAGGGGAAGATGGTTGAAGGGAACGTGTGGTGAGTGCACGCAGTCAAGGGGGATGGGAGAGAACGCGAACACACACACACACACACACACACACACACACACACACACACACACACACACACACACACACACACACACACACACACACACACACACGCACACACAGACACACACGCATACACGCATACACGCATACACGCACACGCACACACAGACAGACACACACACACACACACACACACGCACGCACGCACATACAATCACACAATCACGGACACACACGCGCGCGCACGCACGCACCTCGCCGTCCTGGTTCGTGTCGAGCAATCGGATCATGTCGTCAATGTCCTGCTCCGTCGGCCGGTCCTCAAGATTCCGCAATAGCGACCTGGCACCCGCATTGGCGCACGTGAGACAAGGCCGAAGCACTCGAAGTTCCCACGCAGATGCTTGCACGGCCCCACCTAGTACCATACTCACAAACACGCGCACACACACATACACTCACTCACTCACTCACTCACACACACACACACACACACACACGCACCTGATCTCGTCGCGTGTGATCTTGCCGTTCCTGTCTTGGTCGAATGCTTGGAAGGACACCTTCAACAGCTCTGGATCTGTGTTCACCTGCATGTCCATGGCGCATGCGAGGCATACGTGCGTGATGTGGTGCGGAGGTGGAGGAGGCTCGCCCCGGCAGCGACACGCTCTCAGGACGACGGCACACAATTGCAATGCAGTCAGTCGTTCATGCATGCGTGCATGTGTTCATGACGTACGGGAACGCTGGACGCCAGGCGTTCCAGCAGCTGTTGGAAGTCAATCTGTCGCGCATTCAACTGCTGGCACAGTTGCTGTTCGACAACACGTTGAAGAAGATAGCCGTGGCCGTTGATGAACATGGTGAGCCGGAGACAGCGCAAGTGGCGCAAGCAAGCAAACGGGCAAGCAAGCGAACAGGCGAGCGGGCAAGAGAATACCGCGAAGGTCTCAGAACACACACACACACACACACACACACACACACACACACACACACACACACACACACACACACACACACACACACACACACACACACACACACACACACACCGACCTGGAGGGTTGATTGGTCGACCTCGATGTCAATGTTTGGGATTTTCGTTTTTTTTTTTGTCGTGGATGATGATGATGATGCGGTTGTGATTGCTGACTTCCAACCCACCACCGCTGTCCTCACTCTTCCTAACGCCAAACCACACGTCGCACTCGCACGTCCACACTCGTATCGCGTTTGGAACAAGCTCACGCTCACTCGCTGTCACACACTCTCTAAGAACACTGGTCCACTCCCACACCGACTCCGTCAACCTCCTCTTCGGTGAGGCGGTTGGCGATGCAGCGATCAGAGCGCAGGCAGCGGCCGCGGGGACGAAGGCGGTTTCAGCTGCCATCTCCGCTGTCGCCGCTGTCGTCATTGCCCTCACCATTGACATCATTGATAGGGCCTGTGCAGGCCTCAGCGTCGTCGCTACTCCATGCGCTGAAGCGCACTCGACCGCAGACCAAGACGGGCACGAGCCCAACTGCACTGTTCAGCATGCGTGCTTGCACCGGGCCAGTGATGCTGCTGCTGCTGATCGTGTTACTGGCCATCTCACACGCAGCTCCGTCCGATGCTGCGCTGGTTACTGCGGGGCAGCAGCTGCGAATGGCGCCCACATCCAACAGCACATCAGCAGCAAGCCCCTCTCCCTCACGCTTGGTCATGCACGTCAACCCAAACTATGGCACCCGGCAGCGACGACGCCACCTCACCAGCGAACAGGGCGCAGCCGACACCCTCACCGGCCAGGCGGACGGCACTGATGCGGTGGCAGGCGGACGCTCGCTCGACGGACAGGCGAGGCAGGAACTCCTCCTCAACAGGCTCGCACACGCGCGGGAACGGCGTGCAGCCATGCAGGATGGGAATGCCATAGGCGCTGGCGACGCCAATGCAGCTGTGGGCGATACAGGGAGTGACACTTCAGTTGGCGCCAACGACAGCAACCATGGCGATACAGGCGGTAATGGTGGCAAGATCAGCAAAGGTCAAAGCAGCGATGGCACGGACACAGGAGTAGCAGCAGCGGCTAACGGTGGTGACGGGAACGGGGCGAACGGGTCAGAATCAGAGGGCGCAGACGAGTCTCAGGTTCGTTTGCGCTTGTCTGCATATGTGTGTCTGTGTGTGTGTGTGTGTGTGTGTGTGTGTGTCTGTCTGTCTGTCTGTCTGTGTGTGTGTGTGTGTGTGTGTGTGTGTGTATGTGTGTGAACAGCATGTTCGCACTCAGCCTTGCCTTCGTGGCATCCATCGCACTCCCTCGTTCTCTGTTTCGTCACACCAGCCCTCACCACCACACGCTATCACCCCAATCGCATGCACTGGACCATAACAGACGAAGAAGACAACGACCACCACGACGGTTGCCAAGCCATTGGCAGAGGTGCTCAATGCCGAAGAGGGGGATGCTGATCTCGCCCATTTTGCAGACCTGCAAATCAACTTTTCGCTCCAAGCGCCTCAACAAGCTCCTCACCCAAAATGTGAGTGGGTGTGGGTCTGTGTGTGTGGGGGGGGGGGTGTGTGGGTAGGTGTGCATATGCGCGCTTTCTTTTGCCGACTGCTTGTCTTTGTATCACCATGTGAAAGCGACTCGCCTCATCGTACTGCACCACCCGTTTCCCTTTTTTGGTGTGTGTGTGTGTGTGTGTGTGTGTGTGTGTGTGTGTGTGTGTGTGTGTGTGTGTGTGTGTGTGTGTGTGTGTGTGTGTGTGTGTGTGTGTGTCAGGTTGCGTCTCAGTTTCAGCAGCAGATGGGGGAGATTAAGAAGATGCCTGATCTCTCAGACCAGGAAAAGTCCGCCCACATTCAAGCACTCAACATGGTGCGCGTGTGTGTGTGTGTGTGTGTGTGTGCTTGTGTGTGTGTGTGTGTGTGTGTGTGTGTGTGTGTGCTTGTGTGTGTGTGTGTGTGTTTGTGTGCAAAGGCGTGTTGCGCTTGCAACGATGGACATGTCGGCTCACGTCACTCGCGTCACAATCCTTCATCCCGGTGCACAACGCGCGACCATCTGCCGCAGACGCTGAAGCACATCAACAACACCTTCAACGCGTATGTGCGGATGACACACGACCTCCAGTCCGTCCTCGACAGCGATTTCTCATCATACGAGGTGAGGATGATGATGGTGATGACGATGATGGTGATGATGATGGCGATGATGGTGGTGATGATGATGGCGATGATGATGGTGGCGTTGGGAGTGGCAGACACGGCTGCCGCTGCGCTTGTGAGTGACTGTGCACAAGCACCCACAACTGCATTAGCTGAGTCATCACGTCCTTCCTCTTCCACTCAGACCAACACCCCCCTCCCTTCCATCCACCACCACCATCACCACCATCCCCGTCACCGCATGCCCCCGCCATTACCCGGCGCTCCAGGCAATCAAGCAGTGGCAGGACAAGTATCTCGACGACCAACGGAAGCGAATTGCAGAGCTCCAAGTGCAGGCGGTGAGATGCCGGTGGCTGTTGTTGTTGTTGGTGGTGGTGGTGGTTGTAGTGTGGTTACGGTGGTGAAATGATGGCACGTGCGACGACGAGCGGAGCGGTTGTGTCAGTGAGTAGGCGAGTCTCGACACCTCTCACTCACACACGCAGCAAACTAACCCAAAGTGCACATCCCCTAACGTCGAATCTACCCACCAGATGCGGGAGCACGCTGCGCTCGAGAAATTCCAGGAGAACCAGCAGAAGTTGGAGGCGTTTGAGGATGCGAGGAAGGGTACTGCCGCCAAGCGAAACTCCGTGGACCAGGTCCTCAGTCGCGTCGAGGACAAAGGTGCGGAGGGCTTAGTTGCTTGGTTTGGTTGGTTGATGTTGGTTTAGCTGGTTTATTGGTTGGTTCTTTGTAGAGTTGAGACGGACGCCAAAGAGGTGTTTTGTGTGTGTGTGTGTGTTTTCTGTGTGTGTGTGTGTGCGTGTCGATGTGTGTGTGTGTCGATGTGTGTGTGTGCGTTTCCAGTTTTCATGTCCTGTTGTGTTGCATCGCTTGTCACCGACATGACCGCTGTCATCTCATTCGCCATCGTGCGCGTACATTGCTCCATCCCTCACACCGTCGTCGTCACGCCCTCCTCCCGCATCGACACTGCGCAGCGAAAGCGCTGCAGCAGTTCCTGGACGACCACGCCTACATCAAAGCGCAGCACGTGCGTGCAGCGCTGGCGCCCGTGCTTCCTATGATGCCGTTTGTATGACTCTTGCTTGCTCTGTGCCATCACCTCTCTCACACATGCACCCACGGCTTTGTGTGTGTGTGTGTGTGTGTGTGTGTGTGTATGTGTGTATGTGTATCTGTGTGTTTGCCTGTGTGCGCATGTGTTTGCCTGTGTGCGTGTGCGTGCGTGTGTGCGTATGTTCAGGTGAAGGATTCGTCGCTGATCACCGTCGTGAAGATCGAGAGCCACGACGAGTCAGAAATGACCGCTCAGTGAGTCGACACACGCACACACACAAGCACACATACACACATACACACAGAACAGAACAAAACGCACAAGCACCTCTACATGCACATGCACACACGCACACATGTGACTGATGAGTGCTGTTGCTTGGACATCAGGGAGGAAAAGTCACGCAGAAAGGGAAACGACGTTGCACACATGTCATTCCTCGTGGACGCAGACAACAACCAGTAGGGCGACACCTCAGCTTGCTCCACCTGATCAACTGTCTTGTGTGTGTGTGTGCGTGCGTGTGTGTGTGTGTGTGTGTGTGTGTGTGTGTGTGTGTGTGTGTGTGTGTGTGTGTGTGTGTGTGTGTGTCTTGCTCATGACGGCAAGACATGTTCACCACTACTCGCCCTATCGCACTCGCCCGCGTTGGCCCACCGTTGCCATCATCATCATCATCATCATCATCATCATCATCATCATCATCATCATCATCATCACCACCACCACCACTCGTGACCACCCCACTCCACATCATCACCCCCAACCCATCACCATCAGGTATGCGCTGGCCCGCCCCTCGGACACGACGAATCTGCTTGAGGACTTTTCCCTCCTCAACGATCTCTTGAGTCTCCTCTTTGGCTGCTTTGTCGCCGGCGCCGCCTGCCAATACCTCAAGTGCGCGCAACTCTGTGTGTGTGTGTGTGTGTGTGTGTGTGTACGCGCGTGTGTGAGTGTGTGTGAAAGTTAAAGCAATTGCCATCCGCTTGCTCAACTGCATTCTTCTCCAATGGATGACGTCATCAATGCTCAACCACCGCCATGATCACTGCCATTACCGCCATCTGCTGGCAATTCCTTCCTCCCCTTCAGCCTGCCTGGGTTTGTTGGGTATGTGATTGCGGGCACGCTGCTGGGCCCTGCTGGCCTCAACATCATCACGGTGAGTGCTTGCAGGCATCGGGTGGGCGTGGGTGGATGTCAAATAGCATGTGTTGGATCATGCATGCAAGCACTGCACATTCACTGGCTCGTACACTCACAGACCTTCTTCCAATGATTGCCTGTTGTGGTCTTGCTGCCACTGGTGTTATTCTTGTTCCTGTTGTTGCAGTCGGTTGTGCAAATCACCACGATTGGGGAGTTTGGCGTGTTCTTCGTTCTCTTCACGCTCGGAATGGAGGTGCGCACCAAGCACGCGTTTTTTTTTTGTTTTTTTTTTTTTTGTGTGTGTGTGTGTGCAATCATCACTCTGCTGCACAAGCGTGCTCGTGTGTCCATCAATAATCACCTCAGCTACTCAGAACTGCACTCACTACCACACGATCCATTGCTTTCCTTCATCTCCACCACCACTCACCACCGCCACCACCTGCCACCCTGCTCTTTCCTCTGTCCCTGCAGTTCTCTGTGAGCAAACTGAAGGAGATGTTCCGGATTGCGGTGATTGGCTGCACGCTCATCATGGCTCTCACCATCACCGCCGTCTGCTTCATCGGCTCATACCTCGAGCGCCCGCTCTCAGAGACGTGAGCACGCACATGCTTTGGGGAGGGGGATGTGAGGCTGCCTTTGTGTCTGTGTGTGTGTGTGTCTGTGCGTGTGTGCGCGTGTGTTTCTGTGTGTGTCTGTGTCTGTGTCTGTGCGTGCAAGCATGTGTGTGTTTCTTCTCGTCTGCCTGCTGAACTGATTCTACTGGCGTCTGCCTGTCTATCCGTGTATTCATGACATGGATTCGTTTCCCAGGCTGTTTGTGGCCATCGTTGTATCGCTCTCGAGCACAACCGTCGCCGCCAACAACCTCACACCAACAGACCACGAGCAGCCCTACGGTGCGCGTTCAACCTCTTGCAGCCACACTCAGATACCGTGACTCGCACGGAATGCCTCCACACATGCACACAGACACGCACATGCACACACACATGCACATACACACGCACGCACGGACACAGACACACACACACACACGTACGCACATGCACGCACTCACACCTACACCTCTCGCACTCACTGGACCTGCATGCACGTGCGGTATTCCCCGTTGCGCGTGTGTTTGCTGCGACTGCCTGCAGGGCGGGGCCTGCTCGGCGTGCTGCTGATGCAAGACGTGTATTTGGGCGTCATCATTGCCGTCCTGCCCCTCCTCGTCTCCTTCGATGAGGTGTGCGTGCGTGTGGTGGAAGTGGGGAGTCGCTGTTGATGTACATGCATGGGCCCGAGACTGCCTGCGTTGTGGTGTTTTGACACACTGCGTGGCACGCACACACACACACATCCCACATGCTCACACGCACACATGCACATGCTCACACGCACACACACATGCACTCACCTGTGTTGACTGGTCGCCTTTTCGCTGCAGATTAATGTGATGGACATTGGGCGGATCACGTTTCGTCTCATCGGAAGTTTTATCCTCCTAGGGCTCATCATCATCATCTTGAGCAAAGTACGATGAGTTGCAAAGACGTGGCTATCGTCAGAGCAAACACACTCATACAAACACATACAAAAACACACATACACATACACACACAACCAGCCAGCGTGCAAGTTGATGCGCTTGTGATTGTTCATGCACACGTGAACGCAACCGCTCACACTCGCTTGTGACATGGTGTGTGTATGTGTGTGTGTGTGTGTGTGTGTCTGCAGTTTGTGGTTGAGCGACTGATGCACCACCTCCACTCGCTGGACATCCCAACGCGTCTGCTCGCCATCATCTCCATCTGTATCCTCATGCTCAAAGTCACAGAGTTCATGCAGGTTGGTGCTTTGCAGTGTACATGTGTTGTTGCATCTGCGCGTGCTGGTGCTTGTCACTGTGTGCGTGTGTTCGCTTGTATCTGTACTTTGTGTGTGTGTGTGTGTGTGTGTGTGTGTGTGCTGTGACGTCGAACCATGTGTGTCACGAGAGCCCCAAACAACGCGTGGTGTTCCCGTTCAGGTGTCGATGGAGCTTGGCTGCTTCGTTGCGGGCCTGATGTTCAGCATTGCCGGTGGCCGTATTCAAGCAGAGCATGCGGTGGGTGCATGCATTGTCGTGCGGTGTTGCAGGCTGTCGTGGGCTGAAGAGTGATGATTGGGATGTTCTGTGGGAGCACTGTGGCTGCCATTCCATGCATAGCACACGCTGCCTCTCACCACGTTCAACACACATGCACACGTATGCACATATGCTGACGCACATATATGCACACTTGCATACTCTCTTTCTCTGTCTCATACATGAACGCAGCACGACGGCGTATCGTCGAACCTGTCGCGTATTCTGCATCTGGTCGATCCCGTCAAGGACCTCTTCCTCGCCATCTTCTTCTCCTCCGTTGGTGAGCGCAGAAGAAAGACAGATTGTGTGTGTGTGCGTGTTTGCGTGCGTGTGTGTGTGTGTGTGTGTGTGTGTGTGTGTGTGTTGCGTGCGTGTGTGTGTGTGTGTTTGCGTGCGTGTTTGCGTGCGTGTGTGTGTGTGTGTGTGTGTGTGTGTGGTGTGTGCGTGCGTTATCGTCAACGCGCTCAACCGTGCGTATGTGAGAAAGAGGTGCATTCACTCGCTCACGATCATGATCACACCCATGACCCCAACTCATCATGCATGCCACACGTTCCATTCCTGCAGGCATGCACGTGTACCCCACATTTCTGTACACAAATGCGCTACTGCTCGTTGGGCTTGTCGCCTGCACGCTCGCCGTCAAATACGCAGCCTCGTTTATTGTCAGTCACGCTGCGCGTGCGCGGCTTCGTCGTTGTGCACGGATTTGCAGAGTTGTTTGGATAAGACGCGCTTTCACCCGCACACACATATGTACACAAACACACATGCGCGCGCACATACACACACTCCCTCACTGAATCACGCATGCGTTGTGCCGTGGCAGATTCTACACTTCTTTGTCAAGGAAGGGGACGCGCAGACCAACCACGTCATCAGCGTTGGCCTGGCCCAGGTGCATGCAGTTGCTGCCCGCCAAGCAGCTGTGTGTGTGTGTGTGTGTGTGTGTGTGTGTGTGTGTGTGTGTGTGTGTGTGATTAGTTGTACCCATGCTCCCGTTGCTCACCGTACCCATGCCCCCATGGCTCACCAACCATCACCACCGCTGCCGCCACTGTGCAGGTGAGCGAGTTTGCGCTCGTCTTGGCCGGACGTGGAAGACGATTACGAATCGTTTCTCAGGTACTCCCTTCCCCCTCCCCCTTTCCACCACAGCAACAACCATCACGTGTATGCCTGCCGCTGTTTGCTTATCTTTGAGACCATGCCGCGTGGTGCTCTTGCACCACGATGTCACGCCACAGCAGTGTGCATGCGATGATTGTTTAATCGACCACGCTTCTCATGTCCGCAACCACCGTGCCGTCATCATGCGCGATTGCAAACGCCTGCAGCCGGTGTACTTTCTTCTGCTCAGCATCACCTCTGTGACGCTGCTGCTGGCGCCGATGCTGTGGCGCGCCTTCCACCCGCACAGGCGAACTGTGCACTCGCGATCCATCACCCACGTGCAGGCGCCTGCGTAGCAGCCGGCTCAGTTTGGTTGGTGTTGGTGTTTGGCTGTTGTTGGGGTCTTATTTGAGCATGGAATCGGTTTGAGAATAGCATAAATCGAACCACCTGTTTGTTGTTGCTCCAAAGCAAAAAAAGAAGAAGCAAAGCAAGCCATGTGTGCACAGAGGCTCTTGTCTGTGGTTGCTGCTCGCGCTCGCCATGGCCTCGCTCGTCCAGTGGTCAGTGGACTCTGCGTACGTCCATCTGTCTGTGCGTGTGTGTGTGTGTGTGTGTGTGTGTGTGTGTGTGTGTGTGTGTGTGTGTGTGTGTGTGTGTGTGCGTGCGTGTGTGTGTGTGTGTGTGTGTGTGTGTCAGGTGCACACGTGACGTGTGAAGAACGAAAGAGCCTTCATTCCTCTCTTAACCCACATACACATGCACATGGTCATGCACATGGTCACATGGTTGTAGGTCGCTGGCATGCAGCGTGCCCAGCTGGCAGCCATGACGCACTTCCCTGGGGCCACTAGCGAGTACACGGAGGAGGTACCCTTTCTATATGTGTGTGTGTGTGTGTAATGTGCAATGTGCTGCTGCACACTGCTGCACAATGCTGTACTGTGCATGGCATGCCGCATGTTCTCTCACCAACACCCAAACCCTCACACTCACCAACACGCACACTTCACACCTCGTAGCTCAAGCTTCGTGTCACCACTGAGGAGAAGCCCATGGCATGCTTCCGCGTCATGGACCAGGATGGTCAAATCCTCAACAAGGACATCTTCCCCAAGGAGGTCTGTGTGTGAGCGTGTGTGTGTGTGTGTGTGTGTGTGATCTTGTCACCCAAGTCAGCGTTGGTGCCATGTGCTGACTGACACGTTTGCTTGGTTGTCGCGCAGGTGACTGACGAGAAGTTGCTGCAGTGGTACCGCACCATGGCTCTGCTCAACCAGATGGACACCCTCCTCTACAACGCCCAGCGTCAGGTGCGATGCAATGCGTTGCAAAACACACGCTCTCTCCTACTGTGATATGATGAATGGACTGCTCAGCACCGCGTGAGTTTGCAGTGCTGAATGCCTTGACTCGCTCTCCTTGCGCTCTGCCTTCCTTTCTCTTGTGCACAGGGTCGCATCTCCTTCTACATGACCAACTATGGCGAGGAGGCCACCCATCTTGGTGCGTGTGCGAAGGGGTATGTGCGTGCGTGTGTGTGTGTGTGTGTGTGTGTGTGTGTGTGTGTGTGTA